CCTCCATGATCTTCACGCTTCAACAGCCAAGTGGTGACATCCTGCATCCCACAGCAGCCACTTGGACAGAGAGAAAGAGATGTACTCTCATCAGCCAAGATCCCTGTAAAATAATGAATTTGACCATTCAAACAAGTTTGATTTTATAATATTAAGTTGTCTGACCTTAAATGCAGTATATATTCATTTTAATAAACTGTTCATCTAGCCTGTATAGGGTAACAAAATTAGGGAGAGCCGCTTTAATTGTTTTGTAGCCTTTGACTTTTTATCAATGAACCATATTATGTGTGAGACACAGTTGGTTTGTGTTTGTAAAGGGAGAGATTCCTACTCATCCAGGTGTTAGAAGTGGTACACAACAGTCAGCTGATGTTCAGTTTTGGAAAAATGAATAGGACTGATCCAGTATGCTTTTCTGATTGGTATTTGAGACAAATTTGAGTTTCCTAAAAATACTGAAACTCCCTCTACTATCCCAAAGGATTCCAAATTGTCCAAGGTCAGTTATATAGTATATAGTAAGATCTGTGTTAGCTGTTGCGGTTTTGTCACAGCGCATTTAAGATAGCCTTTGAGTTGTCAGCTGTTATGTTCCCTATTGATTTTATTTCATGGTGTCAAACAGATAATTTGTGGAGATAAAGGCTGACAGAGAAGAGTTGTAATATTAAATTACTGTGTGATACCAATGTGAGAGTGTTTACACAGAAGTGCTGTTCTGGAACACACAGTAACATGATATCCAGTGTACTGTACTGTATGACACAGAGTATGCTGGATCACCTGCCCCACTGTCAACATGACATTATTATGTTGTGATACGTGAGATGGGGACTTTGTAAAAGAACACTCTGCTTTTTTGTGTTAGTAGACTGCGGAATAGGTTAGTAAAGAGGAAGAAGAAAATATGAAGTAATATTAATATTAATATGCAAGATGAAAAAACTCAGAGTGTATAGTTTGTTTAATTACCTATGAATCATAAAGGATACTGTCAGTGGTGGCAACTGTAGTAGCAGCAGCCATACACACTCTCATCTCTCAGTCCTTCCTTTAATTTAATTGCTGGTGACAAGGGGAATAACTGGCTCCTGACCCGGGAGAGTCTGGTGTGGATGGCAGCCTGCAGGCGACCGTGTGCTGTGTCCCCCGTACCTGTACTAGAAAGCAATGATGAGCAGTAATTAGCTCGTGGACCCCAGAGTGTCTGTGCACTGAGCTCGTTGTTCCTTGCCTATGGGGCAGGCGTCCAGTGTTTATGCTAATGTGGTGATTACTCAGCCGTAGTGTAGCGTGAAGTACAGATTTTGTGTTACATAGTGGCAACATCTCACTCACTCCTTCACAGAGACAGAATGGAGAACAACAGCTGAGCGGACTAGAGAGAGAGAGGGAATGAAAGAGGGAAAAACGCTGCTGTGATGTGAATTCATTTCAGTCCTTAAATGATATAATAACATAAAAATATATGTCCTTGTTTATACTTTAAGATTGGAGTTTTCAAAGTGCTGTGGGCTCCCTCTCAGACAAAGCTTGAAAGAAGGCGTCCTCTCACCCCCCCATAGTTTATTTGCTTAGTTTCTCTGAATTACTGGATGCCTGTTGATCATGATTGTGTTATTTGATTCTACAGACCAGGGGTATTGTATTGTTAAGATGCAAAATGGTACTAGGATCCCAAGTTCTCTTAATTGATAGACTTTCTGCAAGTGTCACTCTGCCTGCTATGTTCCGATTATGAAAATTAAGGGATCTTACATATTTAAAAAAATTAAAAAGCATTAACAGTGATTAAAATTATAATGTTTTAAACTATTTGTTTAAACCTTATGGCCCACTTTGGGCAGCCATACCATAGACACTCAACAATTTAGCCAAGATAGCCCAATATTGCTGTTTGACTACACTGAGTACATACAATAAGGCCTGTCCTAAGGCATTTATTAGGTTCGCACTCTGGGTGAATGGGAAAACAATCAAATTCCCTAGAACTATTGTATCTCTGAACTCTCTTTAACCAAATCACACACATTTAGTCTGTTAGGTGCAATCTCCATTTGATAACTGATCTAATATTTGTTCACTTCCATTCACTGAGCCTCCCCCTGCCTCCCACTTTGAAAACCTCTGCTCTAAAAGAGACGTTTAGCATAAGAACAGTAGGCTCAGTTCACCTGAGAGAAATTAAAAGAAAAGGGGCTGGGTAGATTTAGCAACCAGTGTGAGTGGCACTGCTAAGGTTTGCTTGTACTTGATGCATACTACAAGTGATTCCTCTAAAGCCTCATTCAGACTATGTCTACAAAAGTAGGCTGTTATCCTGAGCATGCTTTGTTCTGTGCAGGATTATTGGAGGGATTGGGGGAGTCTGTATCCCCTGTGTCTATCTGTCTCAAGTATCAATTAATAGCAATAGCATTAGTGTCCATGTACAAGTTTTATAATCTATAATCATTATTGTTCTGATTACTAGGTGGAATTACTTTTTCAAAGACCTACAGGCTATAATATGAAGGTTAACTAAAGTTAGAGAATCTGTTTCTAACAAACCTGGTAAAGTAGCTGAATCTGAAGGCTGATATTTTGCAAAGCAAGTGTTAAGTATTAGTTTTTTTTGTCTCAATAGGATGATGATATGTTATTGTATATAAGCCATGCCATTTTTTGACTGTTCGTTATTTTGATGAAATCAAACATGAGCAGCCACTCCGCTGTATGTAACGCACAGATCTGTTGTTACATGGTGCAGTTGTAGCAAATTGGGCCTGAAGCCAGATCTCCCACATGGGAGCACAAACAGCTCCAGTACCGGTCAGCCAAAGGTGATGTCCTCAGTGCCAAGATGTCCTGGTAACAAATGCATCAGCACTGTGGGAGTGTTAAGGTACGCACTGTAGAGTTAGCCATCTTTGATGATTGATGGATTTATAGTACAAGTCCCTTAGCCAGGAATCCACTCCCAGGGCCCTACTCAGGTGTGCAAAGTGTGTGAACTTTTCATTTCACGCTCAGAGGCAGGTGACATTATGCTGATGCGTTTGCTGTGCTGCTGTGTTTGCACAATGTTGGCAAAATCTAATCTTACAATATTGTTGGATATCCCAACATCAATATGTATGTATATACAATATGTAATTTAAATAGGTACCTGCTCAACCCTGCGATGTATATTAGGAACATAAGAGATATATGATATAGATATATGGTATAATATGAAAGAACAAAGGTCAGTAGCAAGGAACCTTATTTGTACATCTTTTCAGCATGGTGGCCTTGGACTGAGATCTGAGAGTTGTGTGCTGGGTATGTAGTGTGATCATCACTGCTGATATCTTTGTCTTTAGGTCTGAAATAGCATCAGCTCAGTAGCACCCACCCCTCAGTGCAGACTGGCTGTATGAGCTGTATGTAATGCTGAAACTCGATGAGCACACTGGTGCTGTAATAACTCGTTCTCCAGCCGTCTCTGTGTATCCACTGTTGCTTCTGTTTATGTTTGCACATTTTCCTCAGCTATTCGATCATAATCTTGCTGTTTCTTTGGTTCTCTCTCTCTCTGCCTTGAATAAGTGGGTGGGCGTTTTTACTGCTCCTCCGAGCCAGCAGCCAGTGACTTGTAGCTAATAAGGATGAGGGGTGAGGGAGTGGGTGAGTTAGGAAGGAGATGACTTCACTGATAGTGATGGTATGAGACTGATCTCCAGCCTGAGGCAGACTGGTAGGGGAAGGGGGGGGGGACACACACATACACACATACACACATACAGTACACATATAACCAGTAACTTTATCTAATCTGATTTTAAGGACAAGGCTAGAAATGTCCTCATAAACCAAAATATTTTTATAAGGCCTACATATCTGCAATAAACCAAGGTGTGTATTTCACAGCTGTTTTTTTTCTCGCCCCTTATCTTTTTATTGAGTTTTCAGTAGACATGGCAAAGTCTGTACATCAAATACAGGACATGGCACGGTGCCGGTGAATAAAACAGTAACGACTTAAAGGTCCAGTGTGTAGCATTTAGGAGGATATATTGGCAATAATGGACAGTGTTGGGCAGTAACTCATTACTAGTAATAATATTACAGTCCTCTAAAAACTAATAAGTTACAATATGACTTTTGTTGTCACCCTCTACTGATTTGAAATCCAACACTACAATCACATCCATGGATTCATTTTTGTAATCGTCGAGGAAACTAGTTTGGAAGATGGAAATGTTAACATTCAGCAGCTGGAAATATTCCATTACTTTGATTTTAGCAAACAAAACTTTAATCGTCAAGTCTGAATTCTGGGGAAAGAAGGATACAATTGCCAATTTTGTAGGGAGTAGCCGAAAAGTAATATAGCTAGTAATGTAACTAATCACTGTTAGCAGGGAGTAATAAGTAATTATATTGCTTTTTAAAAGACTAATGAGTAATATATTATTTTTTTGGAGAACTAGCCCAACACTTCTAATGGAATATAATATAATACAATATAATGAGGCTGGTTTCCTGTTGACATCCCGGTGGTAGAGTATTGTGCCTGCGCCTCGGTGTTTCTAATAATTTTTCTGAAAATAAAAACACCATCTTTCTGAACCTTCCCTTCCAGCTGGTTCGTCATCTTTAATCTGTCAGCCTTTGATCCTGTATGGAGAGGAATACAACCAGTCATGTGACACAGCAACACACACACACACATACACACACACCTGGGTATCTATAACCTCCCACTCCCATTCATTTGCTCAGTCTCTGTGGTTTTAAGAAACAGGCTCTTATTATGTCCTGCATGTATTTGCACTGTTTTGCATTTAAATGTGTTTAGCTCTGAATAGGACATATCAAATTACACATGGCTGGTTTATTATTGGATTTTGCCCCTTGGATGTCAATGTTAATCTGTATTACATACACCCTGGGGGCTGTTTCACCAATACTGGCACTCTTTATCTGTCCTGGTAACATGGTATGTCCATCTTCTGTGTCCTGTTGTACTCCAGGGCTCAGCTGATTCTTACACAAGCCGACCGTCTGACTCAGATGTGTCCCTGGAGGAGGAGAAGGAGGGCGGCCGGCAGGAGAGGGAGCAGCAGGCCACTGTCCAGCTCGAGAGGGCAAAGGTCAGCTTCACTGGGACCTATTTACAGGACAATAGAGACACAAACTGTACTGTATTACACAAAAGACACATGATTCAGTTTCACTAACTACACTGTACTTCTGGTCTGCATTAATGGTTGTCTAAAGGTTGTCAAATTGTCTAAATATAGTCCGTGATACACCATTTACACTGATAGATTTGTCATTCCTCATGATACTGGGTTAAACTTAAACAATATGATGTGATAAAAATATTTGTATGTTGAAAAATACAATGAGTTCAGCAGCTGAGGGGAAAATAATTTCTCTTAAACAGGACTTTTGGTTTTGGTGTTTCCCCCCAGAATCAAGATTTCACATGCAGTAACCGCTGCAAGATAAAAATAATCAATTGATCAATCAAATGATCAATCAGATGAATGAAGATCAAAAGGATGAAAAGTAAAGAATAAGAAAAATATGTGAGATAGATGTGTTCGAAGGAGCCATCTTTATAGATTATCAAGGCTTTCTGGCCTTTGAGTGAGATCTTCTGCTCCGGTGTGCTGTTGATGCAGTGTGATCACTGCTGCTGACTCGCAGCCACCTTTATCGGAGGTCTGAAATAGCATCTCCTCATCAGCACCCACCCCTTATTGCAGGCTTGTAATGCTGAGGCTAAATGAGCACATCAGCTGAGGGGGAACTCTCCAGCCATGTCTGTATATTCACTGTTGCTTCTGTTTATGTATTAAACAGTTTCTTCATTTATTTTCCACAAACAGCATCATGATATAAAATTTAGTATTCTTTGATATCCCTATTAAACGTTCATGTTGCCACTTTATTGCCATGTTCACTCTTTCTTCATGGCTGTCCTACAGACTAAAGCAGTGGCATTTGCTGTGAGGACCAATGTCAGCTACTGTGGTGCTCTGGATGAGGACGTTCCTGTGGCAGGCACCGCTGTCTCCTTTGACGCCAAGGACTTCCTCCACATCAAAGAGGTACAGTTCAGGCACTATACAGTAATGCTAAACCTGTGGCACTGTATGGATTAGTAGCTGCTCTGAAGCTTCTGATCATATCACATCATTTTCATCGGCTGTTGGAGTTTGCCCAATTGTCATGGAAATATAAATGTTCAAATTTTCATTTTTTCTGAGCACTTTGAGAAGCTCTCGTCCATGTTGGCTTAAAACAGAGTTCATTCTTGACCTTGTAAACACCAAAAGGTTTATTTAGTAACATCCTTCTTTGTTTCTTTTGGACAGCTGGTGTACTGTAACACAGATTGTGACAGCAGAGTAAATGGCACTCCGCTCTCAGTTCATAGTGTTTTTTTTTCTCCACCTTGTTCATTATTTCAAATATATTAATAAACCTTGTAGTTCAGTATCTATTTTGGTGTCTACAATACTAACCCACTAATTGGAACCCAACTTCTCTCCATAATTAGTTAGCAAAGCTTTTTTTAACTTAGCTATCGTTATTAAGTTTAGTTGTCAGACATCCTGTGCAGAAGTTTCTCAAAGTGCTGGAAGGGGGAACTATGGGAGTCTGCTTGTGGTTAATTCTGGTTAAAAAGTGGAATATTGCAAATGCAAGTGCAAGTTTTGTCTTAAGGAGTTTTTTTTAAATAAGAGATTAAGAATAATCTCAGGCTTCTCAATCTTCACTCATAACCATAATCATGTGACACCCTGAGGTTTCCTGTCTGTCTGCTACAGAAGTTCAACAATGACTGGTGGATTGGCCGTCTGGTAAAAGAAGGCTGTGACATTGGCTTCATCCCGAGCCCTCTGAAGTTGGAAAACATCCGACTCCAGCAGGAACAGAAGAGAGGACGCTTCCACGGGTGAGTTTAGGAGGTGGACAGGTTGAGAACTGGGATGTGAGAGTGCAGGAGGTGGAGGAATCAGCAGCAGCAGCAGCAGAAATTGTAGTGAAGACACACAGATCAAAAGGGATAAAGAGAGTTGGAGGGTTTGGGGCCACTTTAGGGATGAGGAAAGCCTGGCAGTTGAGCTGGCAGATAGAGAGGAAGTGAGGTGAAAGGAGGATGAAAGCCAAGCTATGTTGTGTGGTCCAACCTCTCAGAGGTGTGCCTGGATTGTAGCCACAACAGAATTTTCCATCAGATGCGGTGATGTGTTTCAGCCACCAAGGCGATTAGATCTTGAGTGCCATCCTCAGTTACAATGGTGAGAGAAAAAGAGTAATTTTCCCTCTTCCTGGTTTTCTAACAATTTCATAGAGGGATGTGTAGCCTGAAGACAGTCTGTGGTCATCTGTTTCCCGGGGGTCAGTGGTGTTTGATGATGACATCTTTGCTGGATTTCACATTAACACTTTTCTCTTTCTATTTGCTGTTATCATTTTAGCAGTAAGTCTAGTGGGAATTCCTCCTCCAGTCTGGGAGAAATGGTGTCGGGCACATTCAAGCCAAACCCCAACTCTGCAGGTTGGTCCCACAGATACAAGTCTGTTTAGCCCTGAGAGGAAACACAGTCGTCACATTCACAGAGGGAATTGTTTGTCTTGGTATCTGTTCTGTAGTTGTGTCTGTATAACAGTGAGAGTATTTATTCAGCTCCTGTGACACTGTGGTGCTTAATAAGGACTAATATAATTCTACTTATAGTCCCACTCCAGTATGCACTTATTTACCTGATCTTTCTTTTCTTTTTCAGGAAAGCAGAAACAGAAAGTGGTGAGTATGACCATTTACATAATAATAATAATAATACTGATAATAATAATAAAAAAAACGAATAACAATAACAATAATAATAATGATCATATAGCAATATACTTTCTAAGGAAAAAAATAAGGTTCAGATTTACTTTATTTGTGCTTTAAAAGTAATAGTGCTCCAAGCTCTAAAAATCACGACTTACAAAAAGAGATCAATAAAAAACACACAAAAACCCCCCCCACTAGAATAAACAAATAAAAACCCATTTTACTACAACTCGTTGATCTAAATGAAAGCTGCTGGAACAAAGCTATTTTTATACTGTTTTGTTCTACATCTTGGGGCTATAAACCTCTGTCAGGAAGGAAGTAGATGAAACTCACTGTGCAAAGGGTAGGAGTCATCATGTAAAACTGAGCTGGTTATCTGCTGTAACTGTCTGGTGTACAGGGATTCTTGGTTAAGCTCAGTCAGCCATCAGCCTACTAGACCATTTAACAATTTGATTGAGGGAGTTTCTGTTCTTTAGAGAAAGGTTTTTAAACCAATGAAAGCATGATAAAACAAGGTCATCTTGGTTTCGTCAATGTGGAAATATATTACAATTTCCTCAAACAAAACACACGCTGGTGCCCCTTTTTTGCTCTTCACATTTTTCTTCACAGATAAGTTGTGGGTCAATAATTGTCCCAAATATTTGTAAGATTGGACACATTCCACTGATTGACTCTCGATTGATCTATTTCTATCATGTCTTTAGTTTTAGTTATGTTTAATTGAAGATAGGAGTCCTCACACCATTTGACAAAGTCATTGATGACCGGGCCATGGCTGTGCTCATTTTCCTGGAGTCGACTAACAATAACTTATTGTAATTGTAATAAGTTATTGGCACTTTAAAGTGGTTCTGTATTTTCCTTTGACACATATTTGTGTAGAGGAGTATTACAATTTAAAATAAGTAAAGAACTCTCCGCAGCTTTATCTCTTGAAATAATTCACATTGTTAATGGTAAACAGTCACTTTAAAAAAAATGTGGCATCCTTTTATATGTCACGTGTGGAGTGCAGACTTGAATAATGTGAATGAATGTGGCTGTTGAGGTTTAAATGTGGTCCCCTGCAGTTACCTGAATTACCCAAATTAATTAAATGGCCCTTTGTTGCTTGATTATTCTCTTAGTCAGTCAACCTGTTACTACTACTACTAATTTATACATTTAGACCACAGATTGTGCCTTTTATTATGCTATCCTTGTGGCAGTTACACAAAATTAATTAAAATGGACTGCTTTCTGGAAAACTGCTCCCAGTAATTTTAACAACCATCTGTGTTAGAATACATCTTTGTATCTTTCGAGATCCACCTCCTGCTTAACTGACTTTGAGTGAAATAATACATTTTCTTAAATGTGTAAGAACATAGCCTAACATTAATGTTAACAGTGAATTTCAGCTTGCACAGATTCTTCAAGGTTCATTTATTTGTCATTCTACAACAAAGGGTTGTACAGTGAAATGCAAGTTGTGCTCCCTTTATGCTGTACAAGAAAAACTATTTAATGAAGTGGAGTGAGGAGGATGAGTTGAGTCTTATAGCCTGAGAAAAGAAACTGCCCTGTAGCCTGTTGGTAAGGCATTACTGGACATACTTCATTTCATGTGAGTCCTCTGCAGACATAGATCAACAACTATTCACTATGATTTTAGTGCAGCCAAAGTCAGTGGGTTATTTTAAATGAACTGGTTGTGTTGTCTAAGTCCGATTCTACTTTGCAGACTGTTCTTTCTAAAAAGTGATAAAAACACCACGTTCCATGATGACATGTCTATAGTTTAAATCCATGAAAACATTTCAGTATCTCTCCATTTACATTGATATTTCACAGTTTCCTTATAGTGATGCTTGCTAATATTAAATCTTGACTGTATGTGTGTGCCCTCCAGGCTGAGCATGTCCCTCCGTATGACGTTGTTCCCTCCATGAGGCCGGTTGTCCTGGTGGGACCGTCCCTGAAAGGTTACGAGGTAGGACGCAGTGTGGCTCCTCCAGCATTCTGACTCAACCTGTTTTTAAAGCCACAACTAAAGCCTCTTAATCCTCACATCCGTCAGCCAACTATATTATACAACTAATAATATAAATATTCAATAGTCTAGGTAGGGCATTTACATATACTTCATAAAGACATTTTCTTCATTACTGTGTGAGACTAAGATTGTTGGCATGTTGAACTTGAGAGGAAAGAAGGCTGCCATTGCAGTTTATTGAAATACACTTTGCAATGTAAACACATTTGGCAAGAAAAACCTTAATTCAGCACTGATTTAGGTTAAATAACTTGCATGCTACTTCTTTTACATCATTTTCTAGGAGTGACAATGCATCCATTATGTTCCAATGCCTTATGTTGCATCATGTCTTAGGTTCTTGCATTTCCACCCATACTAATTCCTTCTAAAGTTAAGATTCCCCGAGACACAGCATTATAGCTGAAACTGCTCATTGATTATCAGTTACCACTGAAACCACAGGGCAAACAATAATGGAGGCCAAGGAGGTGGTGGGAGGTGGGAGTCAGTTGTCATGGAATCACAGTCTTCGCCTCCCATTCTTGTGTTGCCGTGGTAACAACCTTCTGAGTAAACTGCATCAGTCTGAAAAAGTGGTGCATGGTTTGAAATTAGAAACAGAGAATAATGTACTGCACAAAGGTTGTGGAATACGATGAGTGACTGAACTGGTCAGTTAATGTGTCGGTAAGAAATAGAGATTTTAGCTATTAATCACATCAGACACCTTTATGGTTTTTTGTTCCTCTCCGATGAAGCGATATCAGAAAGCAACTTAGTTCTAAAAATAACACTCATGAAGTATGAGACTTTGCGTTAGCAGTGCTATTCTTTCTGCCAGTGGCACAGAGTGAGGATGTAGTTACTTTTATTTATTACAGGGTGTTTAATAAGAGAGTGCATTGTGACGAGCTTGTGTGAAGGGTGGTACAGTTGCAGTGGTTGAAGAAGTATTCAGATCCTTTGCTTAAGTAAAAGGAGCTATACCACTAATGCTCCCTTACAAGTTAAAGCTTTCAAAATGTTAATGTAGATAAGTATTATCAGCAAAATGTACTTATGACATAATCCAATATGAATGTAAGCAGCAGTTTAATGTTGCAGCTGGTTGAGCTGTACAATAGCACTTGTGTAGTAGTTTAACAAAAGATACAATATAACGTTACAAGGATACAAGGTAATTGAATTGACATTTTACATTGCAGGGTTGTGTAATGGGATTCATGTTTTAGTTGCCTTTATGATACCAGTAAAAACAAAAGATATATATTTGATTGAAATTGATTGAGGAGTCATACAAATAAAACGTATAAATATAAATTTTTAAAGTAATGGTAGCTGTAAGATGAATATAGTAGAAATAAATAGTAGCATAAAATACAAAAAGTCAAGTCAAAATTTAACTTTGATTCATTACTTTAGTAAATTAACTTAGCAACTCTCCACAACTCTACAGTTGGAAACTGAATCATCTTTTTGATCCACAAAGTCATTGCACGTGTTAATAGCAGAACACTTCATCTGATAACTGCTCCATGTTTCAGCTCAAAGGACATGCAGCCCCCGTCAAGCCTATGTCACTGTCAAGCTCATTTGATCAAATCAGAGTGACAGCTGTCATCAGCATAAGCCATATTGGAGGCTGCGCTTTGTGATCGCCCCGATTCATCGCCTGTGCATTTGCGACACTTCTCATTGTAGCTCTTAATCACTTTATTTAATGTGGCCCACGTTCCTTCTGCGGAGAGCCGGGGCGAAAGAAACTGTGCTCGCTGTAGACAAATCGCTCGGTCAAGTGTGTAATTCACAGACCGTGCTCAGTGGCAGCAGCCCGAGTGGACGTCATTGGAATGAATATTACCAGTCCACTTCCACTTGTTTGCTGCTCTATAGCATATTCAGTAAATGTGTAGGGATGTTGATGTTGTAGGCCTCTTTTGTTTGCTTTTAACATGCCTTACACTATGTTCTCTCCCTGGCTTCTTTGCCTAATCTTTCTTGAATGACCTGATATTCTCTTTCTTCCTCTTCCCTTTCCATCTCCTGTCTTCCGCCCTCTCCCTGATTCATCGTTGCAGGTGACAGATATGATGCAGAAGGCGCTGTTTGACTTCCTAAAGCACAGGTTTGATGGGAGGTGAGCAGTCAAAGCGAAGCGGCGTCAGTCATGCAGTGCATCGTCCTGCTGCCTGTTTGCTCCCTGTGACGCGTGTCTTGTGCTGTTTTTAGGATATCCATCACAAGGGTAACAGCTGACATATCATTGGCCAAGAGGTCAGTACTAAACAACCCCAGTAAGAGGGCCATCATTGAGAGATCCAACACCCGCTCCAGCCTGGGTAAAGCTACAGGAACTGTTTCACTCAATGATGTGCATGTCTTGTATGTGTTGAAACTGTTTTGCTGTTACCTTTATATTCCTCCCTGTTCATAGCTGCTCTACTATATGTTGTTGTCTTCTTGTAGCGGAGGTCCAGAGTGAGATAGAGAGGATCTTTGAGCTGGCCAGGTCTCTACAGCTGGTAGTATTGGATGCAGACACGATTAACCATCCAGCACAGCTCATCAAGACCTCATTAGCACCCATTATCATCCATGTTAAAGTGTCCTCACCTAAGGTAAGATTGAAGGTGTAGATAGTAGAGAGCCATTCAATAAAACTGTGTTGATTTTCACAATGGTTGCCTAGTATCCTAGTAGGATACTGTATATAGTTTAAGAATTAGCATTATTTAGTGAGAGTGATAAAAAATAACTTGCTGCACTTGGCGACCAATAGCAGAATAATATGTCAAACAAATCTCAGAAACAGTTTTGGTTTGTGAAGTGAAATATGAGGAGACCCATCCAGGCAATGAGGAGAAGGCTTATAGGCAGAAGGCATGACTTTTAAACTTGGCAACCCTAACCTTCAGTAGGCGATTATTCCACAACTGGAAATAATTCAATTAAGTATTTTTCTACCCTGTATGTGCTTCCCACAGGTCCTCCAGCGGCTCATTAAATCAAGAGGAAAATCTCAAAGCAAACACCTGAATGTGCAGCTTGTTGCAGCAGAAAAACTAGCACAGTGTCCTTCTGTGAGTCAACTTCCACCAACTAACTTTCAACACCCTTTTAAATCCAGACAAGCAACATCCACTTAGCTAGTTTTTATTCTGCAACCACCAGTGGTGAAGCTTTAAAAAAGAGATCCATCTACAGAAGCTACACTTTCCTCTCTTTCTTTCCCACCTCAGGAGATGTTTGATATTATTCTGGACGAGAACCAGCTGGAAGATGCGTGTGAACACCTGGCAGAGTACCTGGAGGCATATTGGCGTGCTACACATACTTCACTGAGCACGCCACTCAACCCTCTGTTGGGACGCAACCTGGGCTCCACTGCGCTCTCTCCGTATCCAGCTGCCATTCAGGTGAACTTGTCAAATAGGAGAAATAAAATAAAAAGTCTTGTATTCTCTGTCTTTGGGAGTTCATTTAAAGTTTGAACTTCACGATAATTCATCCATGTTTTTACATGTTGCTTGTCTGTAAAATTCAGTCACAATAAAATATAGCACACATTTATTAAGCCTCTGGTTGAGCTGCATGAATCATTGCCACAGTCACATTTTATAGCAGCATGCTGAGAGCGACACTCAGATCTCTCTTGCAGTTTTGAAAGGCAGTTGTTTGTTGATGGAGGTCAGTGGTCGTGGATTTCTGGAATTCAGTCAATAACGATGGTTTCTGATAGTTTGCCGTTTTTTACTGCTGGGAAACGTAAGTATAAAAAATGTCTCAAAACATTCCTGCAGTATAATCAGCTTGTCTGCGAGTGTATCCAACCAAATGCTCAGTATGTTCATGCAATAATGTGTCATGCTACTGCTCTCCTCAAGCCCAAAGTAGCGTATTTAGGGATAGGCAGAACAATGAGTAACAGTGAGTGGATTAAAAGGGTTGATTTTGTAGCCTTCTTTGGAAGTTTGATACTTTACCCATGAAACCATTGTTGCTGACTGAATTCAAGCAGATAGAAGCTGCTGAACTTTGACCTTCGCTTGTAGTTTCCTCATTGACAGTAATCAGGAAACTTTGATGCCTACATGGCCTATTTTGGGCAGAAATCCTTAAAGAAAGCTTTAACATTCAGTCACTTGACATAGAACATCTTCTTAGGCCTTTAAATATGTTTATATCAACAAGTATTTACAATAAATTCACTAGATCTCATTTTTTAACCTTAACCTGCAGTACTTTACAATCTATCTCCTCTCTCAAACAGGCCCAAAGAAACCGCAACAGCAACCACACAACAGATCATTCACCTGTTGAGCGCCGCAGCCTGATGCCCGCCGACGAGAACTACCACAACGAACGGGCGAGGAAAAATCGCAACCGTCTGTCCTCAAGTTCACAGCACAGCCGGGACCACTCGCCTCTGGTGGAGGAGGACTACCAGGACCCCTACCAGGATTCTTACAAGCCTCATCGTAACCGAGGATCCCCAGGGGGTTACAGCCAGGACTCCAAGCACCGGCTTTGAGCTGTGGCCTGCCTGTAAACAAAATATAGGCTTGCCTTTCTTCTCTGAACAACCACCAAAAGAGACAAATAAGTTGAGGCGGCTTTGCTGTAACATGATGAAACTACTACACTCATTTGGACTGTAACAACCTCGTATTGATGTGTAGTAACTCATTTTACCTTTGGCCTCGACTCCTGCCAAATGAGCATTTGAACCTAAAAAAAATTATAATAAGAATCCTGCTCCTGCTTTGATGTGAACAAGGGAAGGGACTGTATTATGAAAGTAGCACAAGAGCAGAAAAGTTGTGTTTTAAAGGGACGGCTAAAGCTGGACCTGATCTGAATATGCCCCAGATGTGGCTTGTGAGTGAAGTACACTAGCAGGTGATAGTGTGTGACGTAGGCTCTTCTGGACCCTCCCCGCCATCTCAGCTGTTACTGTAGCATGCAGGTAGGACTGTAATTACAGGTCACTAACTGCCACAAGCCAGTGCGAGACAGCAAGAGCACCCAGCGGTGATGATCAGCACAGAACCTGTTTGCACGCGCCCAGGAGCTGGTAGAAGCAAAGTATAATGCATCTTTAATGCTCCTCAGTTTTTGTTTGCCACTGTCCTTGATGTCAGTGTACTAAACCCTGTGGAAGCCTGTTTTTCGAAAGTTTTACACGTTTGTTTTTAAAGTAACATGGATGGTGTTGTAGTGTTCTCTTCAGGGTTCATACAGTAGCTCAATGTATTCCCCCTCTTTGTTATTTATCAATGCCATTTTTTGTCATTAACCATATCAAGAGAGGAAATATAAAAACCACGCAGATAGTAAAACATTTTAAAGCTTCAGATCTCAGGAATGAGAGGTAATTTAGACCTAGAGGTTTGCTGACAGATGTAGCGTTTGTTCTTACCCATCTGATGGGGATTTGATTCTGAGCATTATGTTAAATTGTTAAGAGATTTTATGATGTAGTTGTTACAAAAAAAGTTATTAATATAAGGAAGGAACACTTGTTGTGTCTGGCAGGACATCAATTGGAAATGATATAATTGGATTTTAGTGAGTGACCTATATTGAGGGCTTCCATGTGTAAATACAGTCAAACTAATTCAAGAAAGGAAACGTTAATTTATTTAAAGTTTCACTTTCAGTACATTCAATTACATTCCATTAATTTCTTCTTTTGAAGCCTTGCATACACCTTCAAACATCTGATAAAAAAAGATAGATGTTCTCCATCTTATTTTATTATTAAAGGTTCCATAAAATAAAATAACACAGACGTATTTTCATTGAGTAGCAATTTAACAGGTCCTTTTCTTCATATTTTCACATTTTTTATTGTATTACATTTGCGTTTCATTAAAGACTCCTTGTAAGTGAGGAACTATCTGAAAGCACTATGGCAGGACTGCGCTGTATTTGTCACAATGTCTTTCACATGCTATGTTCGTGGAAATGTAGAGAAGTTCCCTGCATTTGTTTTTTAATCAGATGAATTCACTTGTATGCTGCCAGAAATGCAAGATTCATATCTTTAATGACATATCCTTGTATCCTGTTATTTAATATTTGTTGAAAATCTCAAGTTCAGTTTTTGTTTTTGTTTTTAATTCATAGGCCAGAGATCTCATTGTGCTTCAGTGATTCTGGGAAAGGAAGATTGACAAGGAGACTTCTGTTCTTATCTGCCATATACAGTAGCTTTTATTGGTGTTGTTTCAAAACTCTGGAGCAACAACAGATTTGAATACTGCCTGTGAGAGAATTGATTAGAAGTTTGTGTGCACTGTCATTCTACAATTGTAATGAAATAAACTGCCCTTATGCTGTTGTATGGATAGCACTGTCTTCTGTTCAAAAATATACACCTATAACACCTGTT